GCATGGCTAAAGTGCAGAGATGGACTTGGAAGATGAAAAGCATGATATGGGTTTCAAGTTCCTGTGTTTTCCTCATCAATTAAAAATTTGATGTCTTCCAAGCTGTGTGTGACTTGGAGCTGGTGGCTGACATAGTTGAAGATAGTTAAAATTCATAGCTGGGTTTGGTGAAAGCAGCGTAGCAGCAAGTTTTACTCCACTGTGAAGACAGCTTTTATTTTAGATTGTAAAACAGGATTTGGCATCTCAGCAAGAAGTTTAGGGGGTGTTTTTTCTGTCTTCCGTTTCTGCACTGTAACTTCAGTGTGGATATTGATAGTTGTGAGAAATCCCACCATGTTGCTCATAATGGTGAGCATCTACCTGGAAGGGTACCTGGAAGTACCCAGGTGGCTGATGTTTTGGTCAGCAGATACCAAAACCAGGGAAATGATGTATAAATGTGAAGGCAAGAGAGAATGCACTCATTTTGTTGCTGTTCTTTCTAACTGGACTTTTCATAGTACAGTTACATTTTGGTTTGGAAGAGGGTGTTGGGAAGGATAGCAGATGCTAGATCTGGTAGATGTTTCTGGCTTTCTTCAAAGCAGTGTGCCAGTTGGGCTTCTGCTCATGTGTCATTTGCTATGACACTTTCTCCTTTAAATATGTTGGGAAAGCTCTGTATCTCGCCATTGTCCCTCCCCATTACTTTCTTTCCTGCAAGGGTGCATTGCTGGCTCATGTTCAACCAGGTGTTCACCAGGATTGGACCCCAGGTCCTTTTCTGCCAAGCTCTGCTTTCCAGCTGGTCGCTACCGGCATTATTTTGGTGCCTGGGGTTGTTCTTCCCCAGATGCAGGACTTTGCATTTCCCCTTGCTGATGGTGATGAAGTTCCTGTCAGTCCATTTCTCCAACCAGTCAAGGTCCCTCTGGATGGTAGCAAGACCTTTAGGCGTGTCAGCCACTCCTCCTGGTTTGTTGTCATCAGCAAGCTTGATGAGGCTTGAATGAATGTTGTAAACAAGATCAGACCTAGTATTGACCCCTGGGCTACATAGATAGTTACTGGCCTCCAACTCAGCTTTGTGTCAGTGATCACCACCTTCTGGGCCTGTCCATTCAGCCTGTTTTCAATCCACTTGACTGCTCGTCCAGCCTGTACATCATCAGTTTGTTTATGAGGATGTCAAGTGTCAAAAGCTTTTGTGAAATCCAGGTAGACAATGTCCACAGCTCTTCCTTCATCTATCAGGCCAGTCATTTAATTGTAGAAAGTTAACTTGTAGAAGTTGGAAGGTGTTTAAGCTGCAGGAACCCACAAGTGAAGAAGTAACCTTTAAGCTGCTCTACACATATCACTCTGATCAGATAGCAGTGCTGCCTCAGTCTGTGTTCCTAGGTGCAGGACACCACAATGTGGTTTAAACTAACTCAGCCACAGATACCATCTTTCACCTTTCATGGAAAACCTGTGGGTAGATCTGTCGCAGTGCAGAGCATCTCTGTGTGTAACTGAAATGTATTGGTGATGTCCTTCCTCTCAACTTTAATAAAAGCTAGGTTTGCCCAAGAATTGACCTTGCATCTCTTCCTTTTGGTATTCAGACCCATGTAATCTTTTGTTTCTTAACTTCCTCATATATGTAGAGCTGATGTAACACTGAGTATCACTAAAATTCATCTTAAAGAGGAATGTAGTTTTTATGAAACGCTTGAATGCATACAGAGTAAATGAGGAGGTGCTCATGGGGAAATCCCAAAGTTCTCAAGTGCAGCATGTGAAAGGTATGCAACAAATAAAGTTACTGGATGTGTCTTGAACTTGAATGCAAAGCTGTTACAAGATAGTAAGAATAATTATTTGTTTCTTTAATGAGACAGGTATTTACAGTTGCATGTTGATATAATGCTGCAGGACTGTATGGTAAAGGCTATGTTGAAAAGAACTGAAGGTTTCCTGACTTCTCAGTGCTTCTCTTCTTCTAGGCTATTTTTTTACTTTTTCTTCAGTTGTACTTACCAGCACAGGTTTTCTGCTTGCAAAAGGAAGTCTTCATAATGTCTCCCTTAAAAACATTGCAAATATTTTATGACATAGACACCAGTTTGCACCTCATACAGTTTTTCTTCCATCTGAGGGGTTATGTACCTAGTACACTAGTGTATTGTCTGTTTCTTGTCCCTGCAAAGTCTGTTGCTCCTGCTGTGGATAGCATTATAAGTTACAAAATCTGTAGTTAGTGTTACTTTTGTAATTCTGTTTATTCTAGACTTACTGCCAAGTGCTGTGTCCTTTGTTTGGGTCACAGTAACCCCGTGAAACGCTACAGGCTTGGGGAAGAGTGGTTGGGAAGCTGCCCAGCAGCAAAGGACCTGAGGGTGTATCGATTGACAGCTGTCTGAAGGTGAGCCGGCAGTGTGCCCAGGTGGCCAAGAAGGCCAACGGCATCCTGGCTTCTGTCAGAAACAGTGTAGCCAGCAGGACTAGGGAAGTGATTGTGCCCCTGGATTTGGCAGTGGTGAGGCTGCACCTTGACTAGTGTGTTTGGTTTTGAGCATCTCGATACAACAAAGACTTTGAGGTGGTGGAGCGTGTCCAAAGAAGGGCAATGAAGCTGGTGAAGGGTCTGGAGAACACATCGTACAAGGACTTGCTGGTGGAACTGGGTTGTTTAGCCTGGAGAAAAGGGGGCTGAGGGGAGACCTCCTTGCTCTCTACAACTACCTGAAAGGAGGCTGTAGTGAGGTGGGGGTCAGTCTGTTCTCCCAAGTTACCAAGCGATAGAATGAGAGGAAATGGCCTCAAGCTGCACCGGGGGAAGCTTAGGCTGGACATTAGGAAAAAATTCTTCACTGAAAGGGCTGTCATTCATTAGAACAGGCTGCTCAGAGAAGTGGAGTCCCTATTCCTGGAGGTATTTAATTAGATATGGTGCTCAGGGACATGGTTTAGTGTTGGACTTGGCAGTCTTGGGTTAATGTATGAACTTGATGATCTTTAAAGGACTTTTCCAACCTAAACGATTCTCTGATTCTGTTGCAATATACTGTGAGTAGGTTGTTGTTAATAAATACTTGATTTTGCTGGTGGGATAAAGTGAGATGATCTTAAAGAAAACGTATTTTAATTTTCTTGGCTTTTTAATATACTATCTATGGATGGGTTTGTTGATATCTACATATAACAAGTTACTTTTAATCTGGGATTGTGTAGTATGTGAAACAAGAGGCTTGTAAAGCTGAAAATCATATCCAGTTTTCAGTGAATGGAAGGAGTGGGACTGATTTCAGTGTGGGCAAACCCATGTAATCCTCATTAGTGTGAAACATGGGTGGTTGGGGTAGGGAGCCAGAGAGTTTCTTAAAAGTATCTATCTATATATAACAAGTTACTTTTAATCTGGGATTGTGTAGTATGTGAAACAAGAGGCTTGTAAAGCTGAAAATCATATCCAGTTTTCAGTGAATGGAAGGAGTGGGACTGATTTCAGTGTGGGCAAACCCATGTAATCCTCATTAGTGTGAAACATGGGTGGTTGGGGTAGGGAGCCAGAGAGTTTCTTAAAAGTATCTCAGGAAAATTTTAATTACAAACTTTTAAAAAAAGAGCTCTACATTATATCATACTCTTGATATCTGTAGTCCACTACATACTACTTAATTGTGCTAAATTGTTTTTCTTGCTGAAATACTTTAGTATAATTATGAGGCAATTATTGTGTAATTTTATTGGATTCTTGTTATAAACACTTTTGTACCAATTAGCCACCCCATATAATTTTGTTTCTGGATTATTAATTTTAATGAAAACAGAATATAAAAAATTGCTAACACCTTGTTAAAAAAAAAGTAACGAGAGGTTTAATGTCGCAGTTAATATCTGTCATGGTTCTTAATTGAAAGTTAAACTATGAGTGTTCTGTGGCAACTCTCAGACTGAAGAATAATTTTGAAAACTTTAGAATTTATTAACACTTTCTTTGCAAAAACATGTGGAAAAGAGCAAAAACGCATGTGCCAAGGTCTTCCTGTAGTGTCCCTCAATACCTCACCTAAATCCTGTCCTCGTCATGATTTTCTTTCTCGCATATGGCTATTTATATTCCAAATGGATTTTGACTGTGTAATAATAGTCTGCTGTAAGGGTTGCATATTAGTCTTGTGAACATGGAACAAATTCTTGATTTCATTACCATCAATGTTTCCTAAGTTATGTGGAAATCTCCAAGATTGTGAAGTTCATAAGAATTAGTTAAGTTCCTGCTGCCATTCACCATCCATTTTGGACTGCAAAGAATATCTGGCAGATTTTGTGATCAGTGTACTGGTGTATGTCTTTAAGAGGATGGACACACAACCAATCCTGTCCTGAAAAGCTGATATGTGAAATTAAATTTATAATATTTGCATGATGTGTTTCTCATCTGTTTTTCTTACATTTGCTGAGGTTCAGCTTTAACAGGAGACATGAAGGTATCTTTTTTTTTTTCACTCAGATTTGTTTTAATATGTGTATTTGAAAGCTAATTGCCTTTTCTTGTTCCTTTGAAAACAACAGCAGTGGGATTTGTGGTGCTGAATTTTGAATGTACAGAAATATGTTCAATGGAAATGTTTGATGTGTAATTTGCCAAATTTGTATACTCATACACGTGTTTTGAACTAAAAAAAAAAGCTTAAATTAATTTACTCTTTTATAGGTCTTCCAGTTTTTGCAGTGCTGTTTGAAATTATAAATCCTATACTGTATTTATGTCATTAAATATTTTGGCTAAAGACAGTTGAATTTCTAAGTTAGTACTGCACACTTTAAAAAAAAAATGTCTGTGCTTACAGAGAATAAATATTACCAAAAAATCCCAATCAAAATGAAGGTGTAATTATACACTGCAATTATGTAATATTCACTAGGAAAAAATGGTAACTCTACTTTAAAAAGTAATTTATTCAATGGGGAAATGTTTATGGTTTTTAACTCAAAAGGTTTTTTTTTTTTTTTCTTCATTTTCCTTCCAGGTATTGCTTTGTTTTTGCTTTGGGATACCTCACTGTGTGCCAAATTACTAGAGTCTATATCTTTGATTATGGACAGTATTCTGCTGATTTTTCTGGGTAAGGAGAAAAATATTCTTTCCATTTTGTCCTCCTAAGTGATACTGTGTCTCTTCTTATTTTGATTTTCTTTTTTCCAAGTTCAATGGGTCAACCTGTTAAACTTTGGGAGAAAGCTGAGCGTATGCATGTGTACTGGCACACATATATGTACCAGTGCTTTAATCGTGCAAACTGAGAATTTTGGGAACGGTTGTTTGTTAGAACCACACATGCATAATGGATTTGGTGGCTGTGGGATTTGTTTTGCTTTTTCCCCTAAAATCTCTGTTACCAACCATGCCAATGTGATGAAACTTGAGTTGTATCTGATATACTTGCACACCTGGCACAGTCAGATACCATTTTGTGAGGAAAGTATGAATGTTTTATGGAATTTAGCTTTCAGCTTCTTTCTGGTTTTGGTTTTATATTAGAAGTTCCCAGAGGAGAAAGCTAAGGAGAGAGGCACCTCTATGGTGGAGTAGTCACACAGCCCCTGGAAACAGAAAGTTTCATCTTTGTGTGTTCTCTTTTTATGTAATCAATTTAAACCTATATTTGACTTGAGCTGTAGAGGAACAAAACAGAATTAAAAAGACAAAGTAAAAGTTAACTGTATTTGTTATTCTTTGTACTGTAGACACAGAGAAGTGAAGCACTTCGTATTTATGTTTGCTATTGTGATGGTGCTTTTGCCGATTTAAAGGAGAGTATATATTTTGGAAAAAAGAGATGGGGAGTGTTTGTTAATCTGCTTAAAAAAATGCATTAAATACGTTTCAGAAATACTATGAATGGCAGTGGTCTTTGTAGTTTAGTATTACTTGTGTTGTGTGGTAGAGTTGTGCTTCTTAGCCTTGTTGCTTCTCAGTCTTCATTGGTAAAAGGCATGTAGTCTAGAAACTTAACTTGTAGGGTGAAGACAAAAAGGTTTTATGGTTAAGTTGATATTTTTTGTCATCTTTAGCTGGGTCTTGCCTTCTGAAACATTTATGCCTACATCCAAGTGTCTGCCTTCAAGCCAGGTATCTATGTTCCACCTGTAGTGGGTGGAGATCTGATCAATGTAGACAGTAGAGCCTGGAGGGCATTTCAGCTGACCCACTGCTAAGTAGCTACCCTAGTATGAACTGGGTCGCTTGCAAGATACCCCTGACTCTATTGAATAGATTTCCACTGGCTATAATGAGAACTTGCAACATAGTCATATGCATAATGACACTTTAAAACTAGGTTTATTTTATTTATTTTCCATTGAATTAGACTTAATGATTACCAGTGGAACTGTAATCCAGATGCTGTCCCTTCCAGTTCACTGCAGGGACAAGGTACAACTTTGGCAGTGCTCAGAGATCTGAGCTGACTCTGGAAACAGTTTAACTGGACTTGTTTGTTGCTGCTCTCAAAAGTACTAGTAGAACTTGAACACGGCATTGCTCAGATGTAACTGTGCTGTGTTCATGTAGCAGCTCTCTTTGTGGCTCTGTTGGTTTGGTGTTAGCTCAGAGATTTCTGATAGGTCTAAACACACCCAGAGATTTGGGAGAGTTGTGCTCTGGATAGAACTGTTCTGAAGCTTAGGCCCAACTCTCTGATTGTATGTTTGAGCTGTCTGGTTTAAACTGTATTCTTTCATGCACTAGTTTAGGAGCTTGCTGTGTGCGTATCACATGAAATCTCTGACACAGCTCTAATCTGCTCCCTTGAGACCTGAGGCAGAGGTTACTTTCAAAACAGGAGAAAGCAGATGAAAAGAAGGGGCTATTTTCTGCCTGTTTTCTCAAGTTTCAGGGGAAGAGAATAAGCTCAAGAAAATGACAAGAGTTTCTTAACCAGCTGTTACAACTCCAGCACCAGCAACTTCTTCAAAAGATGTTGGCGTGGATTCATGTAGTGTTTAAACCTAGAAGAGCTCTGAATGTCTGTTTACCTAGGCATTTCTCCTGGAGTGCCATGCCCATCTGAGGCATCCAAGCCCAGACAATCTGCAAAAAGTTTGAAGGAAGGTATCAATTCACTGACAGCAGCAAAAGCCGAGGAGACCTCATGCTGGAGGTGCAATAGCTTGTGCAGAGCTGTGTGGTCCTGGCTCAGTACTAACAGCTCCTTGCTGCCAGTGAGCCTTCCATCACTTCCTTTGCATTTCTGCCAGCACCTAAAAGGAATCATTAAAATCCTGGTTTGCAGCCTCACTGTTCCAGGAAGAACTCTTCTTTTACTCTCTAGATTGTTGCTTGTCAGCCAAATCTTTCAAGATACTGGAATAGCTGCTTGAGAAGAAAAACCATACCAGGGGCTGCTATGATAACAATGACAGATGTATCAGCTAGAATTAATGTAAGGTCTGACCAAGCTCCTCCTGGGCTCCATCCCTGCACCAGGCAGGATCCATGCTGTTAGATGTCTGCTTACAAAAAGAAAACTCATTATGTTCAGAATCAATTGGGGATTTCTGCCAGCACTGGGCATGTCTGCAGCTTAAGTGCTAGAAAGAGATGTGAGGGATTTCCCAGACTGTCTGTTCTCATTTAGTTTTCTTCCTTGCTGACCCTTGCCTGTCATTCTAGTCTTGATATCAGGATTTTGGGGCACTGATAATACAGTAGAAAAAAAAGTTTTTTCTTTGATTGCATTTTGAGGATTGGAAGTGTGTGCTTTTGAAATAACCATAGCCTAGAAAAAAAAGTAATTTGACAGACTGAGCCATCTGGCAAAATACTGGTATAGCTCTGTCAGTGAAGGAGGACTTGATGGCTCTTGGATTTGTTGTTCTGGGCCAATTTAAATATGTTATTAAAAGGCAAAGTGCAGTCAAAAGACTTGAACAGAATGATGTGCCCATCCTACAGCATTATTATCTTGTTGTGGTGGCTAAATACAGTTAAAAATGTCCCTGATGTATTTTTTGAGATCTGATTTCAAAGTTAAATTTCTAAATTCTGGTAGCCTGCTTTATGCTCTCCCCCATCCCCTCTCTCCCCCTAGTTAGGGGGTTAACAAAAAAAATCCTAAAATACTACAAAAATGTTATAATTTCTCAGTATAAAGCTGACTTGCTTAGCAAGGAAAGAATATCTCTTGGACACTTGAAGATCCACTGAAGTGCACCAGATTTGAAACAAACTAAACTCTGTTGGAGCCAGCATAATTATGCTGGGCTTTTGTTTCGTCAGCTATGCTTACTTGAAGCAAATAATAATCTGCTTGGAATAACAGATAGAAAAGTTAAGCACAGGACCAGGTGTCAGTAGAAACAGTGGAAATGGTCTGCATATCAAATAATTTCTAGTACTGTTGAACTTTGTTACAAAGTTTGTTTTATTGTCTTTTGCTTACTGATGGTTTAATTTACAGTCTACATAATTGTGCTTTCTGCCCTTCTCTACTTTTCCTACTGTAGAAAAAAAATGTTAGTAGAAAATAAATGTGAAACACTTGGCTGTGCTTGTGGAATCTGATGCATCAAGAAAAGGCATGAGCTATCAAATGCTCTATCTAAGGATTAAATTATTTTCATTGCATTGAAAACTCTGTAGTGGTTTGAGCTCCAAAACATAATCACTTTGTCCTTACATTGAAAATTTTCCTGTTGGGAGTAATTAATCTGGACTATTAATATAAACTTTCTCTGGTATTTACATGTGAAAGAAAATCCTGAACTTTTTTCTAAATTATTCTTTCTTCCTTTTTTTGTAACAGTCCAATGATGATAATTACACAGAAGATCACTAGTTTGGCATTTGAGATTCATGATGGTAAGATTTCTTTAACCTATGTTTAATATTCCATACAAAATAAAAGGAGCAAAAATTAGTCATGAGTCAATGAGTTACTTTAGTCCAGATTCCATTTTAGGACAAAATATATTTTTGTTTCAATTGATTCTTTTGATATTTACTGATGGAAGTACCAAGAAAAGTTGCTCAGACACTACAAAAGCTCTGAAAATGCTTAACATTGTGCAGAAGATGCTACTTATCACAAGACTAATGACACTTTTGCTACCAGTGACCAAAGACCACTGACACTTTTTTGGGCTGGGATGTTGATCATCAGAGTTAAAGTTCTAAATTCAGAGATCACTATTACTTCCAGATGTGTAGAAAAAGTACATATAATTTCAGCTGTTGAGAACCTCTTGTTTTAAAATGCTAACTGTTAATCTTGCTGTAGTTTATGCCATATATGCTGATTTTTTTATAAAACTGTTCTATATTTTTTTTAATTATCATAATTGCACTTACTGCTAGCATATCAGTGTGAACAGGGGGATTATCTTCTTACGTTTCTGTCTTTTCTCCTGTCAGATTTATCCAGCAGATAAGTGGTCCCTAGTTGTGACAAAAATGAATCCTAATGTTGGTGTTCTGTGGGTGGGGTATCTAGACTTTTAGTTACCTTTACATTTGGAAGAGTAATTTTAAAGTTTGAAAATGGCATCCAATAGACCTAGCCAATAAGCTTGAATCACTTGGAGCTACAACTGGCAGTTGAAGATTTGGGAGCATAGCCCCAGGCACCTGGATCAAACCACCTGTTTTTCTGAAATTTCTTTAGTGACATTATGTATGGTGTTCAGTGTATTTTTGTCTCTTATGTGTCCTACCTTTAGTGCTGTTGGTGTTGCAGTTTTTTCCATCCTTGTTAATTTACACTGTCTAGAGAAGCCTGTAGGCAACAACATTCATGAATATAAAAAGTTGTGTAAAAAACTTTTTATAAGAATTCTTGTATGAATGAAAATAATGTTGGGCATATCTAATTCATCAAAGAAGTTGATGTCTGACTTCCAGAGACAATACATTCACAAATATTAGTGTCGTGGTTTGGCTGGGATAGTGCTGATTCTCAGCAGAAGCTGGGAGGGGAGCACAGACAGGGGAACCAGCAGATAGGTTATTCAATACCATGCTGCTGTCATGCCCGTGACATAAGTCCTGGGAGTGGGCCAGGCTGAGGTGGTGGGCTGGCAGCTCTGAGCCTAATGCTAGAGGAAACAGCTTATTGTAAAGAAGTAGCAGTTCTAGTATCAAAGATAAATGTTTCCTCATGCTGCTATTTTGTGAGGGGAAAGAGCTATTCTTGATTTGCTGAGCTCACACACAAATAGTGGAGTTGTGGTATGGGACAAGCATGTGAGTGTTCCTGGTAATCTTGAGACAACTGTTTCTTCTAGTCAGCTCTATTCTTAACTTCCATCAGAGCTAAACTAGATTTTTTTTTTTTTTTCCTTCTTAAGTTGATTCAGAGAATTTGTATTCTCCTCATAAACCTATTTTATTTTCTTCTGTCTGAATTTCTTGTAGATATCATTGGATTCTGAGTATTCATCTTGAAATTTTACTTCTTGTTAATGTCATATTGGAGATTCTCTAGAATTGCAGCATTGTTGGGGGAGTGGCTGATTTTTCCAGGATAGTGAAAAATTTTCTTTCTGGTTGTATTGGCAGTTTAGCAGAGCTCTTGATGATCAGGAGTTGGATGATCACCATTGCTGGCAGCACAGTGTGAACATGACACACAAGTTGATGTGACCAGTGTGAACTCGGGAGCAACTGCTAATCTGGTGTTAGGAGATGCTAAGAAAAGATGCACAGAGGAAACTGGGATTGTATTAAAATAATGATTTTTAACCATAGACAACTTAAAAGGTGCCCACCATGAGACATCAATGAAACAAGTCTGCTGTCAGTGTGATTCGGTTGACTGCATAAGAATCCATGTTTCCACTGGACAATAGTTTTAGAGATATACTGATAGGGGGAGGAGGTGGTGTGGAAAATAGTTACACTAAGTACTTTGAGTCTATGGTCACACCAGCTTGGCTATATTAATCACCAATTACTTTATTCCCCTCCCTCATTTTTTACCAGTATGTGCAAGGAGAAGTAATGAAAATAAGCAGCTGAAAGAAAGGTTTTGGTGTGTTGGAAAATCTTCGTAAGCTTCAAGACTCTAGTAGTAGTTAGGTTGGTTTAGTGGTAAAGGCAACTCTTCTGGACTTGATCTTTTGCTGGCAGTCTGTTGTGTTCAGCTGGTTTGTGTTACATTTGAAGGTCCTGGAAAGAACTGGACATGAAGGCCCCTCCCTCCTGCTGCATACTAAAGAGTCTATCTAGTGATGTGGGTGTGCTTGATTCCAAGCTGAACGCTAGTGTGGAACCCTGTAAATAAATAACAAATACTCCTGTAAATAGCTACAACCCTCTGCACTTACTGTGGGCTTGTTTTAAGCAGGAAAATCTTATGCAACTTGCATAGGACTAATTTAAGCTTGCTGTGTAACACTGACTTTGAAAAGGTTGCATGGATCACAAATGTACACTTGAGCAAACCTGGACCATGCCTTTGGTGTACTCTGATTTACATATTGAACTTAAGTCCATGCTAGTTCTTGCCTACTTACAGCTCCTTGTTATTCAAATGAGCACTGCCAAAAATGAGTAGTCAGTATGTTAAAATTTGCTTTGTATTTCTTGCTGATTATCTTTGGCTTCTCGCATGTATCTTCTAGAGGCAGAAATGTTTTTACATGATTTGGAGACTGCTTCTGTCCTTATTCATTATTTATGACAAGATTTAAGTTTATTTATGCAACACTTTAGGCATATGATGGAGGTAAAGGAGAAAAGAAATTTTTTTTTTGTACTTCAGTTCTTATATTCTGGAGTACCTTTTTCAGTCAAATTTAAAACCAGGATGTTTTGGAGAAGGAAAGATTCATTGCAGTTACTCTAGAAGCAGGGGGCTTGTCTACAAATGCAGTTTAGAAGGGTTATAAAATGGAGGATTGTACTTGCACAAGAAATTTCTAGGTAAGAGATGGTGGCAAGTAGAGAAGCTTTTGCAGTTGTAAGTTACTAAAAGTTAAGCAGTGGAGAGGAAGAGAAACACTGTCACTGCTGAACTGTATATTGCAATGAGTTCATACAGCATTCTCCCTTTTTTTGATTATAATCCACTCATCCCTGCAGACCCTCACTAATTTTGCTGCAGTTCTATGTAAGATCAAGGATTTTTACATGAAAGACCCATATCCAAACCTAACCTCACTCATATGCTTTGGCAGCTTGTTTTCTATTCAAGTGCTTAATCTTACACAGAGTCTTTTTAAATGTTTGTATTCATAACCCATTAAGGTTCTGGAGTTCACAGTCTATTATTAAATCTCCAAGAGATTCATCCAGCAAAACTAGGGAATGTTGGACTCAGTATTTGATGTTATAAGGGGGAGGGAATACCACAGCTTCTTCCAACCTTTTTTTTTAGATTTATTTTCTCTGATTTAAACTAAATAATACATAAAACAGGAAAAAAACGGTCATTTTAAAAAAAACCCAAAACTTAATACCCATCTACTAAGCATGAAATCTAGTTGAAATCTTCCAGATTATTTCTTCTTATTACTTGTCCATAAAAATGTGTGGCTAGGTACAGGTAAGAAACCAGAACACTCTTCTGTCAGCTGCTTCTTGGTTCCTAGGGACTTACCTCACATGCTTTCCAACCACAAAAAAATAAGCTTTGGCCCTTTGTGTACCCTTCTTCCATCCCTTATGCCTGCGGTTTCAGCTGTATAGTTGCTAATTTTTAAATGTACATTTCCTGGAATGCTGCTTGCCTTTTTTTTTTCCTCCTATGTATCTGGCACTCACCATTTGTAAAAGCAATGGAGTAGACATTGAGGTGGATGTGGTGAAGCACTTGTGTTCTTGCATTTACTGCAAGAACAAAAAAGAGAGAGTACAGTGAATATGCAACTTGAAAATGTTAAAAAAAAAATATTTTTTTTACATCTGCATTTTAGTTTGAATGTTATATTGGTGAAATATAGCTAAAGGCTAATCTTACGCCACTGTTTTAGGTCTCATCTGCTTTGCTCCAACAGCAGGCTGTTAGGACAATGGCTAGATTATTTTAGCTTTTGTACAATATGGCCCCTGAGAGGAGAGCGATTTCATTGGATAGATGAAAAGCATGGAAAATGGGAAGGAAATGAGGAAAAAGCAACAGTGGCAATGTTGGAGAAAATTATGTGCAAATGCTCTATTAGTTGCCATGATCTTCATTATCTGTTGCTACCTGCCTGATCGGGTTGTGGTACTACACCATACACTTGGGAGTTTTTTTAGATGATTTTTTTTTTTAAATTTTATTATAAAATTAAAGTAAATCTGTTGTTCACTTGCAGCTCATGAGCAGTCTCATGCAAACTGCAGTACTTGCTACTGTGTCAGTACTAATGATTGTTAGCTTGTTCTTGAACAACATCAGAAGTATTGAAGAATGCTTCTTCACTTAGTTGATATAAACATTTCTTCTTTATTTTCAGTTAACTAGATTCTTTGTGTTTTGGTTTTCTTAAGAGCAGATAATTCCCATGTTCAGCACTACATCTTTCTAAAGGCTTGAAGACAACTCCAGTATTGGTCTCCTCTGGCTTTTAAGGTGGAAGTGTGGATGTGCTGAAGCACTGAACAGATTGTGTTTCTGCACATTAGATGTGATATTTCATATTTGTTTTAAATATCTACAAAACCAGAATAGGATTACCAGGCTGAATTTCTGCTTGTCACAATGTGACACCGTGGTAAAAGGGAACATACTGTGATGTGGTCAACTTACCTTTGCAATTCAGGGCATTATTTTCTGTTTTAGTGAGAGCCAGTTAAGAAAGTTATGTTTATGAAAATAAAAGTATCATAAATTTCTGATTTCAAATAGGTCTGTTATTATAATGTCCTTTAAAAGTGTA